ACACAGGTAACTCATAAAAGTAAGTAATATGTGGATAATTGTGTGAAAAAAGCTAAAACAACATTTCACAGCTGGTCAGCATAAAAAATGACTTGTCGGTTTTACTTTACAGATAACACCTGTATGTCTTAAATAACACATATGTATAGCATTCATTTGAAAATTTTTACAAAGTATAAAATTTCTGTGTGTAAGAAAAATGAAAATTTAGCTTTTCCCAAGTTATTTTTTATAATATTCAGTAAAAATTGTTTAAAAGCACATGCCATCTATCACAACAGATAGATTGTTTAAAAGCACATGCCATCTATCACAACAGATAGATTGTTTAAAAGCACATGCCATCTATCACAATCAGGTAGCAGAGAAAATACTTTTGAGGTTTATCAGGCATGCAGTAAACTTAAAAAAAAAAGTCTCTACAATATGGGTCTCAAGAACATTTTCTTTGTGAGGGGAGATAGGCAGTTGGACTAATCCCCTCTCCTATTATCTGAGCTCTGATTAGATTTCTATTCAGCTAACATTGTATATTATGGGGGGAACATGAGCTAGGGTGAGTGTGTGCAGCACACACATGCTGACATATGTTGTGCGTGCTCATGTGTGTGAGGTTGTGTGTGTGCATTGCTGCACCTTGCATATTCTACCGTTGTGAGGTATAGGAGGGTATGGAAATGAAGGGAAAGGGTTGGAAAGGAGGAGAAAATGACTGTTCAGATATGGTTTCATGCTCTAAAAATTTAAAAACCACATCAAAGCTAGGCTAATTCATTTACTCCTTTCCATGTCCCCAAAGTGTAACCTTTGGTTTTGAAGCAAAGTCTTCAAAAAACTTATTTTGCAAAGCAGAGTGGCACAGGAGATCAAAACTCACCTAGAGCCTTTGGGGAATTTATAGATGGCCCCACGGAGTTGTGGCGGGATTCCTACTCACAGAATCCTCGTGTCCTACCAAAGGAGATGATCCTAAGAGGCCAAGGCCCAGGAGAGGGATCTTGATGTGGGAAAGAAAAACAGAGCTGAGAGACTATGATTCTTCTACATGGGAGGTAAGGAGCAGGTGTTTGGCTGGAAGGGAATATTTTACTGTCAGGTATTTCCTCACTCTTACCATTAAAATCATGGTTTGGTGTGGGGGGGTAGGAAATGACACTTTAGCAAATGGAAATTTGAGAAAATACTACTTACATGAACACACAAATCCTATGGAGCAAAGCTGTGTTGGAAGCACAGGGCTCAGAGCACCTGCAGGAGTTATTCTTTTGCTCTTTCTCCTTCTATATTTGTATTTTCTAGCTTATATTCTAAATATCTGTTGTACAATTGGCTCCATCTTTACACTGTGAATTCCTCAAGAACATTAATCATGACTTCGTCTTTATATGCCTCCAGAAAACTTCACAGAGCACTGTGCAGTAGGCCCTTGACTGATACTTATGAAACTGGATAAATTTTAAGTTTTGCAGAATGAGCACCAAATTAGGAGCTAGGCAATTTAAGTTTCCAGAAATGTAACCAATAGTGGTCGTTTTATTCACAAACAAGCCACATCGTCTTCAAGGTCTCCGTTTTTTATTGTTAGATTAAAAAAAAAAGAGATGATCTCCAGGATAAATTCCAGCTTGCAACAATCTGGAGTAGAAAGCCTTTCTTCCTTTTGGGAAATGTAAAATTATACAATCAATTGTATTTGTGATCATGTAATTTATAAATGCAATGGAAGTTTCTCATTAAATATGCACACAGGAGGCAAGAGCTCATTAAACTGTTACTCAGAATAATGAAGTAGGAATTAGTCTAAACATGCTTGCTAATATATTTTGTCTTTTTATTGTAAAAATAAAAACTTCAGTTACTTTTATCCAATGCAAATTACTTCCTTGGACTCACTGACATTAATTTTTTCTGGAACATAGCAGCTCATCTTAATCCCAGCATAATATTCTTAAAATATTACCAAATGAGGTTGATAAAGTGTCCGATACTTTCTCAGAAAAAATTTATATTCCAAGTAGAAATAGTCTGAATATGGTAAGAATTTGCTCATTATATTCATAAACGCTGTTATTATTTTCCTTGTGAATATGTATTTCTAACAAATATTTAGTACTTTATATTCATATTTGAACTTTATCTGTTTCTATACTGTACTTTGATATGTTTTCAAATACTTGAATAATCTGAGTACAAATATCATTATGTAATTAAACTTAAAGCCATAAAATTCAGATTAACTATTCATGTGAGAAGTGCAGTGTTTTGGGTTGGAAGAAGCTTCATTAAAAAGAAAATTTAAATTGGGAGTGGTGGCTCAGGCCTATAATCCCAGCTACTTGATAAACTGGGAGGATACCTTGAGGCCAGGAGTTTGACATCATCCTGAGCAACACAACAAGACCCCAGTCTAAAAAAAAAGAAAGAAAGACAAGAAAATTCACTTGGAATTTCCCTAAATTCTAAGTAACAAAACTGTGAATGAAGAGAATTGAAATTAATGAATATAAACCACTGTCACCTAAAATGCCTATCAAAATGACCCTTTGAGATTAATGATTGATTAAATTTACTGAATTAAGGTTGTTTTAGAGATCATGTCTAGTGCCACATATTAGACTTTTTCACTGAAATTGATTTCTTAAAAGTTTCCTATCTGTAGGCATAGGACAATGAACAAGGGAGAATGTTCAGCATAAAGCTCAAAGGCTACCGGTGAGATAGTGAAGGTTGCTGGAACCTCAGTTCCCCTCCTCTGTATCTTGACCCAACCAACTGACCACTGAAAATCTGAGACCTTGTGGAACTAAAAGGCAATGACCTTCAGCAATAGCAACTTTTTCTCTGGGTCTGATCTATTTCAGTATCCATCAGAGGCTTTTGGGCACCCTGGCATCCCCAGCCATCACTTATAAATGAGAATGAGATCTCAGAACATCTGCCTGGCAGGTCCACAGGGTACCCCAGGCACAGGGCAATGGGCATTGCTGCTGGGCAATTCTGAAATTCCCTCCAGAGGTTGATCAGCACTCTGAAGACCCCAAGCCAGTCCTAGATCCTCTGGTTTCCTCCCTGAGAAAGTGATCAGCTTGGGGACCTCTAAGGGTCCCGCCCTATTATCCTCAGCACCACCAAAGTTAAACGCAGAAAAAGATGGAAACGTGCTAATTATACCAGATTCATTTTTCACTAGTGCACTAATTAATCAGTTTGAAGAATGACTGGGGTTAGGGGAGCTCTTGTCCCTATAGTAGACCTTCCAGCCACTACCAGGTATTGGGTTGAAAGTCATAGGGTTTTCCTTCTCCTTTCTTAGAATCCATAATTAGAGAAAACAAATAGGTCAGAGAAAATGAATAGCCTTGACAATGCCACCCGCGTACTAACCAGCACCAATCTTTCTCCTCCCCCAAACTATTCTTTTTCTTCTAAAAGGAGTTTCTGTAATGATAGTAGGTCAAGACCTATGGCTATGAGTGGTTGTTTTAGGAGAGACAAAACCAGATAAGGGAATTTCTCATTTAATTATTTAAGCAGGAAGAAAAAAAGAAAGTGTGAGCACAAAATTGTAAAATCCTTGGTGGGAAACAATGAGTGGAATTCCCTTCAAGAGTTAACTCTTTCCTGCCCTGTCTTCTGAAAGCAAAGGAAGTTCCAGCGGGCCGGTATTAAGTGACAGATTGTGGACACTGCTGAAAGCCACTATAAGAAGGAGGTGAGGGCGCCGGTTGCTCACAAAGCCGCGGAATTCCCAGGACACTGGGCGGCACTGCCCCTGGGCACAGCAGCACGCCAGGAAGCACCCCTGGCTCTCGGCTTCCCAGGGGCTCTGCTGGTGGCCGGGAGAAGTTAGTCACCCGGAGCCTCAAGCCGGCGAGCGTCTGAGCGTGGCGAAGACGCTGGGGAATGTGGAGGGAGGAAACCCGGTGCCGGGACAGATGGGAGGAAACGAGAGGAGCGCGGGGGCCGGGGGGCGCGCGGGAGGCTGGATTCCTGCTGGAGACGGGGGTTGCGCGGTGTGCGAGGCCGGCGCGCACCGGCGTGCGTGCGAAGGGAAAAACTTGCGGCAGGAACTTCCCACCTCGGGCCAGGAAAGCAGGCGAGAAACTTGAAATGTCTCAATAACTTAAAAACACACCACAACACCCCTTCAGGAGATGAGGTAAGCCGAGGCTAGCCAACCCCAATGGGTTGTGAAATATCAGACATTCCCAGAGCCACTGTGGCTTTAAAGGAGGCCAAGGAAATCTGTTTTTTTCTTGCCCCAATACTTTTCCCCCTCGCCCTCACTCCCTCCCTTATCCTCCCTCAGCCTCGCCAGGTCCCAGTCCCTTCCTCCTCCGTCTGCCTTTTCTCGGTCCACCTCCCCTTTTGCCCTCCCCTATCTGATTAGGCGCGGACGGGGAAGGGTGGGAGTGGTGGGGGAAGCTCTCCCTTTAAGAGGCAGCGTGCAGTGACGAATTGTTGAAATTGCCATTGCAGGATGGCATGCCGCTATAAATTCATTGTTCCACCTCCTCGCATCTTCACAGCGCTCGCGCTGCTCTCGGCGCTCGCAGCGGCCGACTGGGGATGACCGCGGCCAGGAGGACACCGCAGCCGGAGGGACACGGACACGCCGCTTCACCAGCTCGCCGCTGGCCGCCCCCTGCGCTTTTGTTTTAATTTTTATGGCTTTTCCCCCTCTCTTTTTTCCCCCTCCTCCGGGTTCCGGCAGAGCCAAGGAAATCCACAAAATAAGAAGGGCAGTGGGCCCTGGAGCTTGGAACCTCCGCGGCCGGCGAGTCCGGAGCAGCAAGGGGCGGGTGGCGGCGCGCACCAGTTGCCAGCTGGGTGCGCGGTACCTTCCTTACTTTTCTTGGAGAAGCGGTTGTGGCAGCATTTGAGTTTTTCTCCGTTTTCCTGTGTTTGCTGAGTCTCCACTACCCGGTTTTTTTTGTTTTTTGTATTTTTTTCTTTCTGTCCCCCCCCCCCCCCCCTTTCATTCTGTCTTTTTTCCTCCTCCTCTTTCTGGAGCACGAATCCAAACATTTTCCAAACCAACAAAGAAAAGTTCGCACGCTGGCACCACGGCCCGGACAGGCTGGCGCTGCTGCCGGGCCCCCCTCCCTCCAACACTTGACTCAACCTTGCAAGCCAGTGTGTGTGCGTGTCCCCATCCCCCGCCTCGGTAACTTCCTAGCGAATAACAAATACCCATAAAGTCCCCGTCGCGCAGCCCCTCCCCGCGGGCAGCGCACTATGCTGCTCCGGTGGGCGTCCCTGCTGCTGTGCGCATTCCGCCTGCCCCTGGCCGCGGCCGGTCCCGCCGCGGCACCTGCCCAGGATAAAGTCGGGCAGCCTCCGGCTGCTGCAGCAGCCGCCCAGCCCCGCCGGCGGCAGCGGGGGGAGGCGCAGGAGCCGACCGAGCCTCTCGGCCATCCGCACCCCCTGGCACAGCAGCGCAGGAGCAGCGGGCTCGTGCAGAACATCGATCAGCTCTACTCGGGCGGCGGCAAGGTGGGCTACCTCGTCTACGCGGGCGGCCGGAGGTTCCTCCTGGACCTGGAGCGGGATGGCTCGGTGGGCACCGCTGGCTTCATGCCCGCAGGAGGCGGGACGAGCGCGCCCCGGCGCCACCGGAGCCACTGCTTCTACAGGGGCACTGTGGATGGCAGCCCCCGCTCCCTGGCTGTCTTTGACCTCTGCGGGGGTCTCGACGGCTTCTTCGCGGTCAAGCACGCTCGCTACACCCTGAAGCCGCTGCTGCGCGGGCCCTGGGCGGAGGCGGAAACCGAGCGAGTGTACGGGGATGGGTCCGCGCGGATCCTGCACGTCTACACCCGCGAGGGCTTCAGCTTCGAGGCCTTGCCGCCGCGCACGAGCTGCGAGACCCCCGCGTCCCCGCTGGGACCCCGCGAGCGCCCTCCAGCGCACAGCAGCCCGGACCGACGCGCCGTGCTGGCCCCGAAGCTCCTGGACCAGTCGGCTGTCTCGCCCGCTGGGGGGCCTGGACCGCAGACGTGGTGGCGGCGGCGGCGCCGCTCCATCTCCCGGGCCCGCCAGGTGGAGCTGCTCCTGGTGGCCGACGCGTCCATGGCGCGGATGTATGGCCGGGGCCTGCAGCACTACCTCCTGACTCTGGCCTCCATCGCCAATCGGCTGTACAGCCACGCCAGTATCGAGAACCACATCCGCCTGGCCGTCGTGAAGGTGGTGGTGCTAGGCGACAAGGACAAGAGCCTGGAGGTGAGCAAGAACGCGGCCACCACGCTCAAGAACTTTTGCAAGTGGCAGCACCAGCACAACCAGCTGGGAGATGACCACGAGGAGCACTACGACGCAGCCATCCTGTTTACTCGGGAGGTAGGTCCAGCCGAGATGAGTGGTCCCAGCCCTGGGATAAGGAGGTAGGTGGAAGGGAGACTCTAATAGCTTTGCTGCTCCCACAAACTTCCAGCCACCATGGATTTGTCTGTTTCTTGCAGGAAACCCTGCCACCTTCCATTCAACTCTGCTCCTATGTTAAGATTAGCCCCTGCAGCAATTCTTGCCTTAGATGACTAGACCCGCGAGGCAGTCAGTCACCTATCAATAATGCTGGCTGTCATCCAGTCTGCGATATGGTGACATAGAGCCATAAACATGATAAGGCACTAGAATGCTTGGGAGAGTGTACGTAGTTAAATGGGAAAGAAGAAAAGCAAGCCTGCCTTTGGAATCATGAGTCCAATGCTTTCCAGTGAAACCAAAAATGTAACTTTGTCCAACCTAAGGGAAAGGGCTTGATGGTTCATTCTTGGTAGTCACTTTCATGGCATGATCTTCTTTTGTAAATGCCCATACCTTCTTACTGGAACCCCTTCTGCTGCACAAGTAGAAGGAAGACGTTCCCAAGGACTCTTTTTCCAATCTGGATTCCTCATAGGGTTCTTCGAACTCAGCTCCTGGGAAAGAAAAAAAAATGTGGGAGGGCCAGGAGGATATGAAGACCCAATCAACTGAGGGGAGACATTTGTGAGGTTCCTTAAGAACTCCTTTGCCTAGAGGACCAGTGCATCCCAAGCGCTGCCAGCGCCAAATCAACCGCTGAGGAAGGGTCATATCCGGTACGCATGTTTGGGTTTTGGATGAATATGTTTCTGAAGCCCCAGTGCAGAAGATCTGGGCAAAGCGTCAAAGACATGAAAAAGGAATGTTTTCCCAGGACTTCCCCTTTGAAGAAAGGTGATTATAGGAAAGGAAAGAAATGGATCTTTACAGGCCCAAAGACTGGGAGGAACATAATATCTATTTACACAGTCATTAGACCACCAGGTAGTGTGGCATTTAGACAAAAAGTCTGCGTTGGTTTTGTGCCTGGTTTGCACATAGTTCTGAGAGTCAGTTTTCACAACTCTACTCTGATTGGCAGTTTTAAGCTGTACCTCTCAAATATCTGGTAAGAATGGACTTTCAAAGCTCATTCTTTAAGTGTTTGACACCCATCCAGACGAGATGAAGAGTTGCAAGGTATTATGTAAAGTCATGGTATGAAATGAAGCTAACAGAACAAGGATAGGAAATTAAATGATGGATTACAGGAAACTTCAGAATCACACAGCCTCACTACCTAATTCTTCTATTTTTACTAAGACACCCCTGGTATGAAGGAGAAGTGTTGATAAATCTGGAGTAGAGAAACACTTGTGGTTCATGGGGTGGACATAAATGCAAACCACATGTAAACAAAGACCTTGGAGGGCAGCAGTTTAGGGAGAGCCAGGCTATGCTCAGTGCTGTGCCCAATGGAAAATCTTTCTTCTCATTAAGTGATCTTCTGGAAGCCATTCTTTAATTCCTCTGCACGACATTAGCCTTTGAAACGGTAGAACATTCATTTTGTGGAGCCTTCCCTATGAAGTGAAGTTCTGTAAAAGTATCCTTCTCTTATTTGGTTTCCAAGTTCTTTTTTTTTTTTTTTTGGAAGCAACTTTCCATGTCTGGGTTTCCTTGCTTTGCTACATCACCAGAGGCTGCCAAGAAGGAGGCTTTGGAGAGTTTATGGAAGGAGGTTCTCTAAAGAAAGAGGAAAAAATACTTTTGTAGGCATACCGCTCCAAAGGGTAGGTCATTTTAATAGTTCACTTTCATTTTGAACACAAATGTACATTTCATAATTTTAAAGTAAATAAAAATTAATGGGGAGTTCATTACTCCCTACCTCCTGCCCCATAATTTTCCTAATTGTTTCCCAGAAAAAAGGAAACTAGTCAGTGATTCTAAAGGGTCGGCCTGTTGCTTTTTCTGGATCTGTTTTTTGTCTGAGTAGTTAACAAAGTCTATTTTTCAAACTCTGAAACTAATCTGCATGTTTTAAATAAGCAAAAGTAAGGGAGAAGTCAATTAACAATCTGTCTTAATTTTAATAAGTATTACAATGACATACTTTTGTCTAACTAGTCTCCACATGGAAAGTATTTTACATAGGCCCTCCCTCGCCTCCTTGCCAACCAGAAGCATACTTTCAGTAAAGCAAGTCTCACTTGTGGTTGACCCTCTAGTATATACTTTTAACTTCACCAGGGCCAATATCTGAAAAGTATGTTTATTATGAATATATGTATCTGACTTAAAAGAATTAATTAAGGGGCTGAGAAAAATAGTTCAGAATCTTTATGTAGCATTCATTTGAGGAGTACTTCCAAATGTAAAATTAATCTCTGCCTAATGCTTCAAAAAATGGAAAATGAAAAGGCTGGAGGAGAGACAATCTGAGCTCTTCTGTCTCATGGAAATCGGATATCTTAAAGCCTAAAGAAAAATTTTCATAGCTATTTCTTTTTCAATGAGAAATGCCCAGAGTTGGCACCAGGATTCTACTTTTACAACTCTGTTTTGAATGTAAGAAGTGTGTTGCTTAGCAACCAGACGCCGAGCCATCAAATACATGTTTTGATGGGCTCTGATTCTTGTTCAAATTTTGTGTCCAGATGTCTTCTCCTAAATTGCTTGTTTTTTGGGCATGAAGCAAATGTGTGAGGATATGTTTTCCACCCCTGTTTACTAGCTGGGGCCACCTTGAACGTTGTGTTTGGGGATCAGCAAAATAGTGCTAATAATTCATTTATCAAACGGACACACTTCCCTGTCAGGACTGTACCCACCACTCTGGTACTGTTCTGATTAGAGAGACTTAGTACCAAGAAATTTTCTTCCATAGAAACCGTTTTCATTTTGGAGTGGCACTAATGCTGGAATTCACACCACTCATGCCATCAAATGGTAGAAATCTGATCTCCCCAGGATTTAATTTTCCTTTCCAGAATCCTTTCCTTATTCCTGACTCCCTGTTTTATTTTAAAACATTTTTTTAAGAGACAAACTCTTAAACTCATTTTGCAGACCATGCACCCTTCTTAAGAAACCAAAGCCTACCTGCTTGATAACAAAATAGGAAATTAACATCCTTCTTCCCTTGTACAACAGCAGTGAACACTTTACTTTTTCATAGGTTGAAACATTGGGTTCAAGTTGAACCAGCTAAGAGACTGTACAGTATAGAAGGTTCATTCCCTTTCCTTAACTATCAACCTGCCAGTTAACAGGCTATCGTCTCTCAGATGAAGGTCCCTTCTATGTTCTACCTTATGATCTGGGTGGGGACTCCACATACAGCATTTCTCCTTTAGCATGTGGCTCCTAGGTTCTGACAATAGGGGGCACTAGAGAGAACCAGAAGCTTGGAAGAGGTGAGAGAGATGCTTTTTCTTATTGGCTTGCTGCCTTGATTGACTAATTCAGTCATATATTTGAGTTCAAAGTCAAAAGTGAACTCTTGTCAAGGAACCATAGAATATAGATCAATCCTAACCAATAAAAGGCTAAATAACTCATAAATGGGAACACTGGTAGCAGGTTAAGGAGCTTTAATGTTATTTTTACATGAGGAATATTCTGAGAAATGTAGTCTTTTAGAGACAGCATACCCCAACAAATAGGACCTATTGTGTGGTTGTACTTCTTACATACAGAACATGGCTTTGTGCACCTCCTACATTCATTTTGGCAACTGAAAGTAGCAAGATGGCAAATACCTGATCCTTGCCCACCAGACTTATCACTAGCAGAGAGGAAGCAGATACATGCATAACTCACTTATAAGATCTGTGCTCTAAGTAAGGATGTAACTGATCACAGCATGTAGACAAGGAATTAATAGGAGACAAAGGGACCAGTTAAAAGTCTCAGGTGACAATCCAGGCAGGAAGGAATCATGTAGAGAATGAGAAATAGAGGACAACCACAGTGACTTACAGTGAATGATGAAGTGTGGCAGGTGAAAGAGAGAAGAGAGAGGCACAAATTACAATGTCACCTGGTTTCTTATCCAGAAATTCGATTTCCTTGTTTTCTGTAATATCTTTCACAGTGCATTTTGTATGAAGACCATACTATTTTTTTATTTGCTGCAAAAAAAGTAATTTACTTGACAAAATACAGATAGTGAATAGGAGGAGAAGTTGCTGTTACTTAACTCCTGTTTTCTTTCTTAACTTTGTTGTTATGATGTTATCTTTGGTGATGATATCTACCCCTGTCAGCATTTGTGTTTCTTCCAGCTCTTGTCTTCAGCATATTTATGCTGCATGGGGACCAGTCTCTCAGTCAAGGCAAGAAATCCTACAACTCCTGTGATTTGTTCCACTTTGTACATTTGTGTCTGCCTGTTTCATTTTCACCACTCAGTACTGACCACTGGGATTTTCCAAGTCACTATCCTTTGGGCATCTGCTTCTCAAGGAAGCATAACTTGCTGGCTCTGTGCGCCTTCCTGGATGCAAGAATACATCTGAGGTACTATTAGTACCTGTAAGTTCCACAATAAATCATAAGCTTTGCCATATTTATAGTCTGCTAAAAGGTCACACCTGGTGAATGGTCACAATGTCAGTGACCTTATCTAATCTTGGTTGGTCTTGCAGACCATCTGGATCATATTTTTGAGTCAGATACGTCTCAGTCTAGTATCCTGGCCAACACCACACCACAAAACCACCAGTTAATTCTCATCATACCGTTGCATCCCTTATACAATAGAAGATTTTACCAAGTCTTCTATTGTATTACTCTCCATGCAATGTGATAAATATTGACCAGCATAAAAAGAGCCATCTTTGATATGACAAAATATATTTTACCTTTAGACTTACACTGAATAAACTGAAAAGCTCTTGTCAGCACTTTGAATTAATTTACCTCTTACATGGATGCTGAATGCAATTCACATTTCTTCGCTATCTCCCACCTCTAGATTTTTATATATATATAATTTCATATATATGTGTGTGTGTGCATATATATATATATATATATAGATATATATATATATATGTAATGCATTTAATCCAATTCAGGGATGACAAGGAAGGTTGATAGCCGCTAATGAGCAATTGATTAACTGTAAACAGAGAGATACATATATGCTAGTGTCCCAATAATATCCTCACCCCTGCTCTGAATCTTAAAAAACATTCTCTAAACTTTGTGTAAAGTTTGCACTTGTAAATGTTGTTCTAAATCACCATCAGAAAATAGATATTTATGTGATATATTGTATTCTTAGTAATTTAACACACAAGCGTTAGCACATTGAGATGGACATTGGTTTACAAAGAAATTCAGATGTTCATTGTATATCTTGAGGATGAAACAGTCACTCTACTGCCAAGGTTTGAAATTGCATGAGTGAAATGAAAAGGTTGCCAGTTACATAATTATAGCTACATAAATATATAGTGTGACTGCTCAGTCAAAGAGTTTAATCAGTGTGGTTAAAAAAATAATAAGTGCTCCTGTTCATAATTTTGTCTCATGCACACATTTCCCTGGCAAAAGACCAAATGCATTTAATCCAATTCAGGGATGACAAGGAAGGTTGATAGCCGCTAATGAGCAATTGATTAACTGTAAACAGAGAGATATTGAGCATCCAGCTTAAACTCCACACAGAACAGGAAGATTGTTTCCCTTTGCTGTGGCTCTTCATTCAAGTTTATTAATGAAGCAAGGAGTAGGAAGGGGAAACATAATTCTTGGATTTCATCATTCAAAGATAATGACACCCAAATTGGAATATAAACGTAAATCTTGGTTTAAAAATTTGTATATATATATATATATATGTGTGCAGAAATAACCTATGGTGTCTAACAACTCACTGAAACCACAACCTGGGCCTTTTGTCCTAGAGCTACTGAAATGATGGTGAGCAGGAGTGGGGGTATAAGGAGGAGTTAAAAAATGTATTGTACTATATTATTATCTCAAAGACTGATTATTATGCAAAAGTGTGTTCCAATTTCAATTTCAAAAACTACCAATTTGTTCTCAACAGCTGTAATTTGGGATCCCACGGGATGACATATGAAGATACACAGGAAACTTGGGAAGGCTGTTGTTGGTTTTGTGACTTGATTCACCAAGGCTGCTTGGCCGAGATTTCCACTGTCTGAAGCTACAATAACATGACGGCCACACTGTAATTTATCATAGCTTGGAACTCATAATACGGAGAACACAATAAGGACCTGAAAATTTAGTAAGAGAAAAGAATAGGGTGTATCTGTTAAATATTCTACTCTTTGCTTGGATTTTTATTCAGCAAGTTAAGGAAGGATCAGAAGAATATGTTGCTATTGAGCGAGTGGCATTGGTTATGTAGTCATCATACTGTCTTGCACTAGTTGTATGAAGGTTGTTGAGGTCCTGCTAGCAGACAGCATCTGAGAGGTGCATGGGAACTGTAGTGTATCTGACTGTATGTCGCAATTCAACTCAATTGAGCAAATGTTTGTTGAGTTCATACTATAAGCCAGGCAATGTGGTAGTTGGGCGTACAAAAATTATTGCTGTCATAGAAACAACACTTATGATTCCAACTAGCAAGCAATCATCTTCCGCAGTAATGTATATTATCTTAAAAAAAATTTCCTCCTGCAATTATTAACTTCTGGCTTACTAGAAATACTATTTTGTTTTGGGAGGCTTTATTTGCATATAAATGGGCACACTGATCTTTAGTTTTCAGTAGAAACAGTAGTCAACCACAAGCAATTCTAATATTTGTTAATGCCTGAGTAACATTTAAAATGACAGTTTGTCATTACAAATCTATCATGTCAAAAAATTGTGCCTTATGTTTTCTCTTTTTGCTTTCTATCTTAAGAGTCTTGTTGAAGTCCCTTTCATCTACATTGACCATTTTAAATCAATAGTGGGGTGTGATCATGTTCCCTTTGAGAATCTTTTAAATGTTTTGAAACTTTTAATCAGGAAAATGCTTATGCTCATGTACATACACACAACATGTGACATATATTTTCTGGGGATTGATTAGGTTGAGAAACACTACATTAAATGCTATTAGTAAGAATCCACAAATTTCAGAAGGTACAACATATGAAATTACAACTCATTTTGGAAATTAAGAGATGGTCTTTAGAGGGTTTATGCTTATGGATTAAAATTTAGTTTTCTATCCAAATTCCTGATAAATTTGTATTCTGTTGCAGATGTGTGGTTGCAATTTACCCCTGTGATGGCAAACAAATGATTAGGCCAGATTTCTGATAAACCTAGCATGAATTGGGGTCAGAATATTAGGACTTTTCTAAGCAAGACCATATGTGAATGTGATCCATGACATAAACGCATCACAACTTTGTTAAGGCTGGGTTGCTATTGTAATGGACAAGCTACAATCCTAAAACATCTTTTTAGATGTAATTGAGTTCCATTATCCTTCTGTGTCTCTGGGTCCCAGAGTAGCTCAAAAGCTTCCATGCTTTGAGTTTGCCTTTGGATGCTTTCCAGAGCGGAACAGGTGACACCATAAACATATCCAGGTCTTGCCATTTGGGGTAAGCAAGTGGCTCTATGTGACGGCTCCTTCTGGATGTAAATTGATTTTAATGATTTCTTTCTTTCTCCCGGGCAGGATTTATGTGGGCATCATTCATGTGACACCCTGGGAATGGCAGACGTTGGGACCATATGTTCTCCAGAGCGCAGCTGTGCTGTGATTGAAGATGATGGCCTCCACGCAGCTTTCACTGTGGCTCACGAAATTGGTATGCGGCGCCTTTTCTCTTCCCTCGCCAAATCAAACACTTGTAACAGCTGCAACAGGAACCAAAATACTTGGCAATTAATTCCAGATTTCTCCTGGTTCAGATGTGCCATTGGGGATTAAATTTGTTTATATTCGCACTTCTAGGGTTAATTAATATGGGAGAGGGAAGGCAAAGTCAACAGCACAGTAGATGTTTTATTCTGACAATGTCATTTACAAGCTTAAGAGAAGTTTGCTACTGCTACTGACTTCTTGCTGTCTGTTTAAGCATCCCTAAATAACTTCTAGATGGCATTCCTCACTGGGGGCTATGGAATGCAGAGATGTCCTTCTTAGAAGTTACTCAAGACAGTATCAGTTCATCCAGGGTTAATCAGTTTGCACAGACTTTAACATATTTTACTCTGTTGTGAGTGATAATTGTAGGCGTCTGTCAAAGGTAATCAATAGCCTGGGACAATATTTCTGTCTCACTCTTTTTTTTTTTGAGTTGGAGTCTCACTCTGTTGCCCAGACTGGAGTGCAGTAGCTGCTCCCAGCCACTGCAGCCTCAACCTGCTGGACTCCGG